CGAGCGGTGGTGGGCCCTTAAAAAAAAACGGTCGGTAGGTCCTAGGGACCTCCTGCTCTGAATACCATGTCAGAATCACTAGGCAAGAATGATTGGATTGAAAGAAGCAAGGGTACAAATAGGAAACCCTAGTTTGGGTTGTACCCCATATTGGCTACCCCACTACAGCCTACCAACATATAACACATTACAATTTAACAGGGTGCGGCAGCAGGCTGCGCGTGCGGCAGCGGGCTGCGCGCGCGGCAGCGGGCTGCGTGCGGCAGAGGGTGCGCGGCGGCGGGCTGCTTGGCGACGGGCGGCGCAGGGGCAGCGGGCTGCGTGCGGCAAAGGGTGCGCGGTGGCGGGCTGCGCAGCGACGGGCGGCGCACGGGCAGGGCACGCGCGGCTGCGGGCTGCGCGTGGCGAGGCTGCGGCGGCGGGCGAACAGGCGGCGCAGGTGGGGCGCGCGGCGCGCAGGGCAGCAGCGGGCTGCGGGCTGCTTTCGCGGGGCGCGCGCTTAAAAAAAAAGACCCGCGCGCCTTCGAGGCGCACGCAGGCAGCAGGCTAGGCAGGCAAGGCTGTAGGTGAGGTAACGCAGTAACCGGTGGGCCCAAATCTTAGGTCCTAAGACCTACTGCTCTAGATACCATCTCAGAATCTAGGCAAAGGAATGAGTGCATTAGGTCAAGGAGGGGTACAAGAAGAATGTCGAGAAAAATACTGTACCCCCTAGTGCTACCCCACTACAGCCTACAAATGTATAACCCCTATATAATTTGACACCAAAGATAATGGGATCAGCAAAATCTGACATGATAATGTACTGGATATAAAGCACCAACTAGCCTGAACTCTGTACAATGGGGTGTGTAGAAAGCCCCTAAGTTTGGTCTATACAAACTACACAACACAACTCATGACCCCAAATCAAGTGCACCACCACAATTGGAGGTTAGAAACGAACAGCAGCACTCTGCTAGCTAAGCCAGCGACAGCATACGGTGTCACATCCGGCAGGATGAGAGCATGTGAGCTGCGCAAGCAGGTAGGCAGTCCTGCCCTCCTCCTTACAACTTACAAGCCCTTGAGCTGTCAGCTGCCACACCACACCACACCACACCACACCTCACACTCGCTACTCCACATCGACCTACCATTATCTCATGTGGCCCAACCTTTCTTAATTGCCTCAGAAATCGCCACAGCGGCTCACCACTCCAACCTACAAGCATATAGCCTACCGGTACTGTTTGTATTGCTAGCAATCTGTAGAATGCGCAGGTGTGCACTGAGGGAATGGTGTGACCCAGCCCAGCGTGAACAGCATAGGTGCCTGCATGCACCCCCCTCCCTCACACCCCCCTCCCTCACACCCCCTTCCTTGCACCCCCCTCCCTTGCACCAGTCCCTCCCATCACTCCCTGTTAGAACAATCAACTAGGATGGTTGGACTAAGGCAAGCAAAAGATACAAGTACCAAACCACTGCAGCCTACAGTACACACTCAACAATATAATGTTTGGCACACCCCCATAGGCAAAGTGGGGGAGAACAAGTGGTCTCAAGACCAGTCAAGAGAAGCAAAACAAGCTCAGGGTGGATCTCAACGTCACCACACATTCTGAGCACAAGCAAAGAGGGCCACAAGGCCAGTTCACAAGCACTGATATCCAAGAGAGCAAGCAAAACAGCAATCACTACCTAGCAAGTGTAGGCATGCAGGTATACATAAATCACAGTACAAACAAGGTCAAGTAGTGAGCAAGTGCGAGAAAGTAGGCACGAGACCTAGAGCAGTCAGTGAAGCTGATGATCACTAGGCGGGAGCGCCTTGGTGAAGATATCAGCTGTGTTGGCCCGCGTGTCCACGTAAGCAAGACGAAGCTGACCGCGCTGCTATAGCTTTCGAGCAAGAAAGTAACGCAGAGCGATATGCTTTGTCCTGTGCTCCAGTCTGTGCTCCTGACACAAGGCAAGGGCTGCCTTGTTGTCGCCGTACAGAACTGGAGGAGAACGCGGCTGCTCTCCCAAGTGAGCCAGCGTAACTCCTGTGCAGCCATGGCTGTGGCGTAGATCTCAGCCTCACAACTGGAGCTGAGAACAGAAGACTAACGGGTAGACCGCCACGAGACAGAACTGTCAAAGTATAAATGTGCTATATGTTTGTAGGCTGTAGTGGGGTAGCCAATATGGGGTACAACCCCAACTAGGGTTTCCTATTTGTACCCTTGCTTCTTTCAATCCAACCATTCTTGCCTAGACTTTCTAACATGGTTTCAGAGCGGTTCGTCCGTTAGGACCGGATTTTTTTTCCTGGGCCCACCGAACGCCTGCCTGCCTGCGGTTACCGCGCTGCCCCTCATGCACCCTGCCCTGCCTGACTGTCGCGCCGCCCCTACGGCCCGCGCCTGCCTTGCCTGCCCGTCGCGTCGCCCTAAGCCCGCGCCCGGCCCCCTGCCTGCCCGTCGCGTCGCCCTAAGCCCGCGCCCGGCCCCCTGCCTGCCCGTCGCGTCGCCCTAAGCCCGCGCCCGGCCCCCTGCCTGCCCGTCGCGTCGCCCTAAGCCCGCGCCCGGCCCCCTGCCTGCCCGTCGCGTCGCCCTAAGCCCGCGCCCGGCCCCCTGCCTGCCCGTCGCGTCGCCCTAAGCCCGCGCCCGGCCCCCTGCCTGCCCGTCGCGTCGCCCTAAGCCCGCGCCCGGCCCCCTGCCTGCCCGTCGCGTCGCCCTAAGCCCGCGCCCTTCCCCCCCTGCCTGCCCGTCGCGTCGCCCTAAGCCCGCGCCCGGCCCCCTGCCTGCCCGTCGCGTTGCCCAAAAGCCCGTGCCCGGCCGCCTACCTTCCCGTCGCGCTGCCCTACGCCCGCGCCCGGCCACCTGCCTGCCCGTCCCGGTGCCCTTCAGCCCGCGCGACCCCGCCCTACCGCCGCACCGGCTCCACCGGGTCGCGGCCCCGCCCTGCTGCCGACGTGGCCCTGCCCTGCTGCCGGCGCGGCCCGTACGGCGCCGCCCTGCCACCGACGCGGCCCAGCCTGGCCCGCCCTGCCGCCGCCTCTGCCCCGCCCTGCACCTGACGCGGCCTTCCTCTGCGGCCACGTTTGTGGCCCCGCTGCCCGCTGAGCGCCGGCCCTCCCCGCCACCGGTGAGCACGCTGCCGCACCGCCAGCCTGCCTGCCTGCCTGCCTGCCTGCCTGTCTGCTTGCCTGCCTGCCTGCCTGCCTGCCTGCCTGCCGGCCTGCCTGCCTGCCTGCCTACCTGCCTGCCTGCCTGCCTGTCTGCCTGCCTGCCTGCCTGCTTGCCTGCCTGCCTGCCTGCCTGCCTGCCTGCCTGCTGCGCTGCTGCTTCTGCTCCTACTGCTGCTCCTACTACCAGTGCTGCTCCTGGCGGTGGCCAGATGCAGCTCCAGTGCCGTCCGCGCGAGTCTCTCACGCCCCAGCAGCTTCGTGAGTGGTACGCTAGTTGGGGTTGTGGCGGTAGCCGTCGTGGCTGTCGCCCTGGAGCTGGGCAGTCGGGAGCGTCTGGTAGTGGCCAGCTGCAGCTGCAGCGGCGTCCGCGTGAGACACTTACGCCCCAGCAGCTTCATGAGTGGTACGCTCAGAGTAGAGGGTCTCGGAGTACCGTTCGCTGCCCGTACGTCATTCGCACAGATGCTCGGATTGGTCAGGCTTGCAGGACACTTGGTCACACGCAGTCCCGCTGCTTCGCCCGTCTGAGCGACGCCTGGCGTACCGAGTTTGGCGACGCGGCTGAGCTCCCCACCTGGCTGGAGCTGCTTAGGCAGAGTGTAGATATCTTTGCTCTTGACTACGATGCTATTCTCACTGCCATGTATGCGTTGCCTACTAGTGCTGATGGTGCCTGTTACCTGTGCGTACCGCCTGACCCAGGTATAGAGCCTGCTGCTCTAGGTGCTGGTGAGGCTGCTGCTCTCGGTGCTTGTGCGTCTCCTGCTCTAGATGCTGGTGAGGCTGCTGCTCCAGTTGCTCGTGCGTCTCCTGCTCTAGGTGCTAATGAGTCTGCTCTCTCTGGTACTGCGCCTGCTGAGGCCTTGTACACCTTCACGCTTGGCGCAGGTGCTTCCCGCTCCTTCTTTCGCGACTGCACCACACTCACGCCGCTTAGTCGGCCCGTTGCAGTCTCCCTGGCGGACCCCTCTGGGGGTCCAGTCCTTGCCCACTACTCCACGGTTCTGCCGTGTCCGGCCGCCCCGTCTGGCTCGCTGTCCGGTCTCTACCTCCCCTCGTTCTCTACGAACTTGGTGAGTGGAGCTGACCATTTCACTTCTGCGAGTCAGCGAGTGACCCACTGTACGTGTGCTCGGACGGGCCGACACCTGGCCACGTTTACCCGTGCGCCTGGCTCGAGTCTGTACACCCTGACCACTGAGTCCCCTCAGGTAGCTGCGTCTGCGTCTGCGTCAGGTCAGCTAGCGGCCCCCTGCTCGTGTCGCGCTTTGTCGCACCAGACCCTCCTTTGGCACCACCGCCTTGGTCACCCCTCGGTGCAGCGCCTTCGTAGCATGCACCGCCGTGTCCTTGTCTCTGGTCTTCCCAGGGTTCTCCCTCCCCTCCCACCCTCGCCTGCTCCTCCCTGTCTTCCCTGTGTCGAGGGGCGGCAGCGCGCCGCTCCTCACTCCTCCTCGTTCCCTCCCACAGAGGCTGTTGAAACTAACTGGCAGGAATGGGGATCACTAGCAAGAATGTGAGTACAAATATGCAACCCTAGAATTTGTGTACCCCCTAAAGGCTAACCCACTGTAGCCTACACAACAACAACAGATATAATGTTTGACACACCCCCATAGGCAAAGTGGGGGAGAACAAGGGGTCACAAGACCAGTCAGAGCAAAGCAAAGCACAAGCAAGCTCAGGGTGGATCTCAAGGGATACCACACAAATTCCGAGCACAAACAAGTGGTCACAAGACCAGTTCACATGCAGTTTGATAGTAGAGCAAGAGGTACAGTGATCACAACCTAGCAAGTGAAAGCATGCAGGTATATATATAGAGATCACAGTACAAACAAAGTCAAGAAGTAAGCAAGTGAGGTCCAGTAGGCACAAGGCCTAGAAGAGTACAAAAGCGCTGATGGTCACAAGGCTGAAGCGCCTTGGTGAACACGTCAGCAGAGTTGGCCTGAGTGGCCACGTAACGCAGACAAAGCTGACCACGCTGCTGCAGCTCACGAGCCAGAAAGTACCGCAGAGCGATGTGCTTCGTTCTGTGCTCCAGTCTGTGCTCCTCACACAAGGCAATGGCAGCTTTGTTGTCGACGTACAGCACTGGAGGAGAACGAGGCCGCTCTCCCAAGTCAGTCAGCAGGTAGGTGAGCCAGCGCAGCTCCTGGGCCGCCATGGCTGTGGCGTAGATCTCAGCCTCACAACTGGAGCTGAGAACTGAAGAAGAACGTGTAGAACGCCAAGAAACTGAACCGGAGCCAAGGCTGAAGGTGTAACCCTGAGACGACCGCTGAGTGGCCTGGTCGTCTGCCCAAGAAGCGTCTGAGTGTCCTGTGAGAACAACTCGGTCTCGCCCTCCAAGCACTAGCCCCATGCCCGACGTACTGCACAAGTAGCGCAACACCCTCTTAGCGGCATCCATGTGCTCCTTCCGGTGATGGCCAGGAGCGACATAGCGTGCGAGGATGCTAAGAGGTTTTGCTAGGTCAGGACGAGTGCAGGTCATCAGGTACATGAGGCAGCCCACAAGCTCTGGATACGGGCCACTCGGCTCTACGGACTCATCCGAAGGCAGAGCTGAGAGCGAGTGACCGGTAGGCAGAGAAGTGGACTGAGGCGAGGAGTACGTGAAGCCGAAGCGCTGAAGGACCTGCTGCACCATGTGTGACTGAGTCAAGGTGATGGTGCGCCATGCTCTGTCCCGGGTGATCCGCAAGCCAAGGTAGCTTGTCAGTTCACCCAGGTCTGTGCACGTGTGTCTCTTCTGCAGCTCCGACTTCACGTGGGCGAGAGCCTGAGTGTCAGCAGTGGCAAAGACCAAGTCGTCGACGTACACGAGGATGTAGAACGACGGCAGCGAAGTGTCGGTGCGCAGAAACAGCGACGGGTCAGCAGTAGAAGGCGCGAACCCAAGTGCCGCAAGTGTCGTCCTCAGTGTGTCGTGCCACTCACGTGGTGCCTGGCGGAGACCGTAGACCGGCCGCCGGAGGCTCCACTGGGTGCCAGGAGGAAAAGTCCCAGTGAAGCCAGGAGGGCGGCGCAGCCAGATCTCCTCGTGCAGGCTACCCTGCAAGAAAGCAGTGCTGAAGTCAAGAGAGTGAAGCTCGTAGTCGCGCTGAGCGGCTATGTGCAGCAGTACCCGAAGAGTGGTCATCTTCGGGGTGGGGGAGAAGGTCTGGAAGAAGTCGACTCCCTCACGCTGACTGAAGCCTCGAGCAACGTAACGCGCCTTGAAGACAGGCGGAGAACCCGGCGGCCGCTTCACCCTGAAAATCCACATGCCACTGACGATGTTCGCCCCTGGTGGGGGAACTGCGTCGACGTAGGTGCCTGTGGACTTCCAGGAAGCCATCTCTGCGTCCATGGCTGTCTGCCACTGAGAGGAGTAGGGACCCGCTATCGCCTCTGCGTAAGAGCGCGGGGTCGGGATGTCTGGTGCATCCGGGTCTCCCTCAAGGGCAACTAGCATGGACACGAGATGAGGTAAAGCAGCAGCAAAGCACTGGAACTCCTCCTGCCTGTCCTCAAGGACGTCCGTGCCAAGAGCACACTCACCCCCGACGGACGGAGGACAGACAGACTCAGACTCAGCAACTAGGCTAGCGGCGTAGTCGAGACGACAAGCGGCAGCAAAGTCAACTAACTCAGCGACGAGAGCAGACGCAGCAGAGGACTCAAAGGTAGGGTCAGTGACAACAGTAGCAAGGAGACGCGTGACAGTAGGACGGGCAGCACGAAGGGAGTCAGACTCCGGGTCAGGAAGCTCAGGAAGAGAGGACGCAGGAGGAGACGGCAGAAGGACACGCTGAGGAGCAGTGGAGGGACGCAGAGTCATGTAGTGAGTGCCAGGGACAGGAGGAGGACGCTCACGCGGGACACGACGACCAGTGCGAGCAGCACGGACAGGCGACGCAGAGCGAGACGCAGGCGACACAGGACGAGACTCAGGCTCACGATGCTCCGTAAGACCTCCTGTGGGACCAGTGTAAGGAGAAGGACCGGGGAGCGGCGAGGGAGGCGGTAACTGCGACTGCGACGGGACAGGCGGAGGACACTCTAAGGAGGGAGCAGGACAAGGAGGAGGAGGCTGACCAAGAACCTGCTGGAGAAGCGGAACGAAGTACGGTCGGGGCCGCTCAGTGACTCCAGAACCAGGAGAGACGGCACCAGCACCCGCGGCAGCTCCAGCAGCACCAGCTCCAGGGTCCGCAGCACCAGCAGCAGCTCCAGCGCCAGGGTCCGCAGCACCAGCAGCAGCTCCAGCTCCAGGGTCCGCAGCACCAGCAGCAGCTCCAGCTCCAGGGTCCGCAGTACCAGCAGCAGCTCCAGCGCTAGGGTCCGCAGCACCAGCAGCAGCTCCAGCTCCAGGGTCCGCAGTACCAGCAGCAGCTCCAACTCCAGGGTCCGCAGCACCAGCAGCAGCTCCAGCTCCAGGGTCCGCAGTACCAGCAGCAGCTCCAGCTCCAGGGTCCGCAGTACCAGCAGCAGCTCCAACCCCAGGGTCCGCAGCACCAGCAGCAGCTCCAGCCCCAGGGTCCGCAGCACTAGCAGTACGAGTAGGGCCTCCAGCAACAGCAGCAGCACCTCCAGCACCAGGGTCCGCGACACCAGGCGCTCCACTCCGGAGAGTGCAGCGCCGCTCGTACCACTCGCGGATCCGCTCAAGAGAGGGCAGCTCCCGCTGAGGAGGGGAGGCACCAGCACCAGTCGCAGCAGCACTCCTGGTCCCAGAGGCACCTCTCCGGAGGCTGCAGTACTCTGAGTACCACTCACGCAGCCGCTCCGAGGAGAGAGCTCCCCCAGGCGCAGGACTCCCAGGCTCAGCACCCCCAGACTCAGCACTCCCAGACCCAGAACTCTGCAGCTCAGCACCCCCAGGCTCAGCACCCCCAGACTCCGCACCCCCAGACTCCGCACCCCCAGGCTCCGCAACCGCAGGCTCCGCACCCCCAGGCTCAGCACCCCCAGGCTCCGCACCCCCAGCAGGACGAGAGTCAACAGCTACCTCAACAGGGTCAACCGGGTCTACCTGGGACACACCTGAGGGAGCGGCACCCTGAGGGGGGAGGGGGTCTACCACAGCAGCACCTGGTGCGAGGAAGAGAGGCGGGGGGGGGAGTGGGGCAGTGCGGTAGGGGAAGAGGCGGTAGTAGGGGACGGACTCGTCAAAAGTGACGTCCTGAGAGGCAAGGACCCGGCGCGAGGTGGCGTGGTAAAACTGCCAACCAGGCGCATCAGGGACAAAGCCAAGGAAGACACAGGGAACAGCGCGGGTGGAGAGCTTGTCCGCGGAAGCGTCGCGGACAAAAGCTCGAGATCCCCAGACCCGGAAACGCGACGCATCGCCAACCTCCCCCGTCCACCGCAGCGTGGGCGAGGTCTCCGGCATGGAGACACGGGGCCAGAGGTTGAGCTGATGCGCAGCATACCGGACCGCAAACGGCCACAGAAAGTGGGGGGCAGCCGCATGGATCAAGGAGGTACGGGCGACCTCCATGACTAGGCCAATGCGACGCTCCGCAACCCCATTCTACTGTGGAGAGGCCGGAAGCGTGAACGACTGCTCAATGCCGTGCTCAGCACAGTAGGCTGCCAAGAGGTCGGAGGAGAACTCACCACCTCTGTCAGAGTGCAAGCGCAGGACAGGAAAGTCCGAGTGGAAACGCTCGCTGAGCTGGAGACGAGCTCTGCGGATCCAAGGGATCAAAACATCAGGGACCTCACCCTTGGTGCGCAAGGGGAAGACCGTGGTGTAGCGCGAGTAGTCGTCAACAACTATCAGGAAGTACCTCTCCTGACCCTGACCACGGACGCGGGCTGGGCCCCACACGTCCATGTGGAGCGTCTGCAAGGGAGCAGTCGTCGGGGGAAAGGAGGAGGAGTGAGGAGCGGCGCGCTGCTGCCCCTCGACACAGGGAAGACAGGGAGGAGCAGGCGAGGGAGGGAGAGGAGGGAGGACCCTGGGAAGACCAGAGACAAGGTACCTGGAGTGCATGGCCCGAAGGCGCTGCACAGACGGGTGGCCAAGTCGGTGGTGCCAGAGGACAGTCTCGTGCGCCAGAGAGCGACACGAGCAGGGGGCCGACAGCTGACCTGACGCAGACGCAGACGCAGACGCAGCGACCTGAGGGGACTCAGTGGTCAGTGTGTACAGGTCCGACCCCGGCTGCCGAGTGAAGGTAGCCAAGTGGCGGCCCGTACGGGCACACGTGCAGTGCGTCACGCGCTCGTAGGCCGGGGTGAACTGGTGAACACCCGCGTCCTGGAGCGCACACCCAGCCACCAGGTTCGTAGAGAACGAGGGGAGGTGGAGACCGGACAGTGTGCCCGACGGGACCGCAGGACAGGGAAGGACAGTGGAGGAGGTCGCCACGACTGGTCCCCCGGAGGGGTCAGCGAGGGAGACAGCAACTGGCCGAGCAAGTGGCTCAAGGGCAGTGCGGTCACGAAAGAAACAACGAGAAGCACCTGAGTCCAGTGTGAAGGTGTGCAGTGCTGCAGTCGACTCAGTACCAGTGGGCGCAGACGCACAAGCACCTAGAGCAGCAGCCGTACCAGCACCTGAGGTAGCAGACACGCGCGGACCTGAAGCGGCAGACTCACTGGTCCTAATGCCCGGGTCGGGCGGAACACACAGGTACTCGGCACCCTCTCCACTAGTAGACATCACATACATGGCAGTGAGAATAGCATCAAAGTCTAGAGCATAGATATCAATCCCCTTCTTCAGGAGATCAATCCAGCGGGGCAGCTCAGAGGCCTGAGGGAACTGAACACGCCAAGCGTCGTCGAGACGAGAGAAGCAGCGCTGCGCGGTGTGGGCCCTCCCACACGTCTGACCAGCGCGGTCACCAGTGCGGATGACGTACGTGCAGCTAAGCCCACCCCCCCCCCCCCCCCCCGTGCTGAGAGTACCACTCACGGGCCTCCTGGAGCGACGGAGTGTGCTGCTGGCTCTGGCCACCGCCAGCGCCTCCACGACCACCACCTCCGCTCCCACCTCCTCGACCACCCCAACCCGTGCCGCCTCCACGTCCACCGCCACCCCCACCACCGCCCCCGCCTCTGCCACCTCCCCCGCCGCTACCGCCACCCCCCCACCGCCACCACTCACCCCTCCAGCCCCGCCACCACCCCCACCGCCACCACCGCCCCCACCACCTCCTCCCCCACTGTGACCTCCGCCTCCCTTGCCCCCTTTGCCCTTGCCGCTGCGGCGTCCGCTCGAAGCAGACGCAGTCCCGACCTTCTCAGCACCAAGGAGGTCGACAGCAGCAGCAGAGGCGACAGAGGGAAGAAGGGGGGAAGGAGAACACCCCTCAAAGAACGGGGTGCGGGGGTCGCCACGAGAGGCACCTACAGCGACTATGCTAGCCTCAGCTGCAAGTAGTTCCTTCTCGAGGAGGGCAATGGTGAGCTCAGTAGGGCAGCGAGCTAGGAAGGAATCCCTGACTGCACGCAGAGAGTCAGGGAGGCGGGTGACTAGGTGGTAGAGAGTGAGCCAGAGCGGGGGAGGGTTCTTGGCAAGGAACTCGGCGGGCATGGCAGCACGGAAGCGGGCCTCACTAGTACGGAGGTGGGTGATGAGGTCAGCGACTGTGTGGAAAGAGGACAGGTCGGGGAACAGGTAGGGAAGCGAGAGACGGCCTAGAGCGGCAGAGGCAGGCGAGGAGTAGCGGGCAACGACAGCTTTGTACAGGTCCTGTGCAGTCTTGTGCTGGCCAAAGTGCTCGCGCTCTTCTAGCGGCAGGGAGTTGCGAATAGCAAAGCGAGCGTGGGCGTCACGAGTCTGCCACTGTGAGCGGGTAGAGCTGTCGGCAGTAGCAGCAGGCGCAGGGGCATGGCCTAGGGCGTGATCGTACAGTGAGATGTCTTCCTTGGCAGTGAGCTGTAGGAAAAGGTGCAGGTCATCTAGCCAGGTGTCAAATTTCACTGGACGTCCCTCAGTATCGAAAGCTAGCACGGGAGGACTAGCCATAGTAGCAGTAGCAGCAGTAGCAGTAACAGTAGTAGGTAGCGCGACTCAGGGAGGGCGGCTCGGCGCAGGTAGGGCGGCGCGGCTCGGTTAGGGCGGCGCGGCTCGGTTAGGGCGGCGCGGCTCGGTCAGGGCGGCGCGGCTCGGTGCGGGCGGGGCCGTCGCGGTCGCGTGCGGGGCAGGTAGGGGCGGTGGGTGGGGTCGACAGGGCCAGCGGGGCCTCTAAGGGCGGTACGCGGGGTCTTCGGGGCCCCTAAGGGGCGGCGCGGGGGTCACTAAGGGGCGGCGCGCGGGGTCGACGGGGCCAGCGGGGCCTCTAAGGGGCGGTACGCGGGGTCGACGGGGCCCCTAGCAGGCGGCGCGCGGGGCCGACGAGGCCTCTAAGGGGCGGCGACGGGGTCGACGAGGCCTCTAGGGGCGGCGCGCGGGGCCGACGGGGCCTCTAAGGGGCTGCGACGGGGTCGACGGGGCCTCTAGGGGCGGCGCGCGGGGCCGACGGGGCCTCTAAGGGGCTGCGACGGGGCCGTAAGGGGCCTCTAGGGGCGAGCGCGGGGCCGACGGGGTCGCTAAGGGGCGGCGCGCGGGTCGCTAAGGTGCGGGTCGCGGGGCCTTAGGGGGCCGTGAAGTATGAAGCGCTCTAAGGCGCAGGTAGGTAGGTAGGTAGGTAGGTAGGTAGGTGGGCCCTAAAAAAAACGGTCCTAGCGAAGGACCTGCTCTGAAACCATGTTGAAACTAACTGGCAGGAATGGGAATGACTAGCAAGAATGTGAGTACAAATATGCAACCCTAGAATTTGTGTACCCCCTAAAGGCTAACCCACTGTAGCCTACACAACAACAACAGATATAATGTTTGACAGAGGCTCCCCTGCAGACTCTCCACCTGGACGTGTGGGGCCTAGCCCGCGTCCGTGGACAGGGCCACGAGCGGTACTTCCTGCTGGTCGTCGACGACTACACGCGTTACACCACGGTCTTCCCCTTGCAGCGCAAAGGGGAGGTCCCTGATGTTTTGATCCCTTGGATCCGCGCTGCTCGTCTCCAGCTCCGCGACCGTTTCCAGACGGACTTTCCCGTCCTACGTCTGCACTCTGACAGAGGTGGTGAGTTTTCCTCCGACCTCTTGCGGGACTTTTGTCAGGGGGAGGGCATCCTCCAGTCGTTCACGCTTCCGGCCTCTCCACAACAGAATGGGGTTGCTGAGCGCCGCATTGGCCTAGTCATGGAGATCGCTCGCACCTCCATGATCCATGCGGCGGCTCCCCATTTTCTGTGGCCGTTTGCAGTCCGGTACGCTGCGCATCAGCTCAACCTCTGGCCCCGTGTCTCCTTGCCGGAGACCTCGCCCACACTGCGTTGGACGGGGAAGGTTGGCGATGCGTCGCGCTTCCGGGTCTGGGGTGCTCGTGCCTTTGTCTGCGATACCACCGCGGACAAGCTCTCCACTCACGCTGTTCCCTGTGTCTTCCTTGGCTTTGTTCCTGACGCGCCTGGTTGGCAGTTTTACCACCCCACCTCGCGTCGTGTCTTCCCCTCTCAGGACGTCACGTTCGACAAGTCGGTTCCCTTTTACCGTCTCTTCCCCTACCGCACTGCCCCTCTCCCCCCCCCGCCGCTCTTCCTCGCTCCAGGTGCTCCCCAGGTAGACCCCCTCCCCGCTCCCGGTCCTGCTCCTTCAGGTGTGTCTCAGGTAGACCCTCCTCCCTTGCCTGCGCCGGTTGAGGTTACTGGTGACTCAGGTCCTGCTGCGGGTGGTCCTGCTCGGGGTGCTGCCTCTTGGGGTGCTGAGCCTGGGGGTGCAGAGTTTGGGGGTGCTGAGCCTGGGGGTGCGGAGTCTGGGGGTGCTGAGCCTGGGGGTGCGGAGCCTGGGGGTGCTGAGCCTGGGGGTGCGGAGCCTGGGGGTGCTGAGCCTGGGGGTACTGAGTCTGGGGGTGCTGCACCTGGGGGCGCTGGCGCATCTGGTGAGCAGTCTCCCTCGAGCGACCGTCTCCGTAGTCGCTCCGCTGGTGCCTCGCCGCTGCACTCTCGTAGCCGTCTCCCTCGCTCCCCACAGTAGCTGCTTGAGTGGTACGTTAGCCGTCAGGGTCGCGCTGCTGGAGCTGGGGGCCCTGCTGCGGGGTGCGCTGGTGTTGGAGGCACTGGAGCCGGCGCTGTCCCTAGGGGTGCAAAGACTGGGGGTGCTGAGCCTGAGCCTCAGGAGCCTAGGAGTGCTGAGTCTGGAGGTGCTGAGCCAAAGCGTGCGGAGCCTGGAGGTACTGCGTCAGGGAGTGCTGAGCCTTTGAGTGAGGAGACTGGAGGTACTACGTCTGGGGGTGCTGCGCCTCTGTGTGAGGAGTCTGGGGGTCCTGAGTCTGGGGGTGCGGCATCTGGGGGAGCTGAGTCTGAGGGTACTGCGACTACTGGTGTGCGGTCTCCTTGGAGTGGCCGCCTTCGTCCGCGTGTGCCTCTCACCTCGCAGCAGCTGCACGAGTGGTACGGTCGCCGTCAGGGTCGCGCTGCTGGAGCTCGGGGCTCTGCAGCTGGAGGTGCTTCTGCTGACGTCGCTGGAGCTTGGAGTGGTGCTGGTTCTTTGTCTACTGGCAGTACTGGAGCTGCTGGGACTGGAGGTGCTGTGTCTGGGGATGCTGCTACTGGAGACGCTGAGACTTGAGACCCTGGGACCGGAGGTGCTGGTTCTGGGGGTGCTGCTGCTGGAGACACTGCGGTTGGAGACCCTGGGGCTGGAGGTGCCGGTTCTAGGGGTGCTGCTGCTGGTGGAGCTGGTCCTGGAGGAGCTGGCGCTGGAGGTTCTGGAGCTACTGGGGGCGCTGGAGCTGCTGGTGCTGGTGCCGCGGCGCAGCCGAGACTGTTCTTCGCTCCGCCGTCTTCGTCGTCCCCTCCGTCGCCTGACTCTGTGCTTCGCCAGGTTCTTAGCCTACCGTCGTCTACTGGTCATCTGTTACAGCCTGACTCCCCACTGCCTGCTCCTTCTCCCTACACTGCGCCGACTGGGGGTCTTGCTGCGCGTCGTGAGCCTGCGTCGCGTCCTGTTTATTCTGGTCGTACCAGTCGTCGTGTTGCTCGTCCGCGTCAGCCGGCTGTCCCCGGCGCACACCTCGTAGTCCGTCGTCCTTCCTCTACTGCGCAGTTAGTTCCTCTGCCGTCTCCCCCTGCGTCCTCTCTGCCTGACGTTCCGGACTTTGAGTCTGACAGGTTCCATGCTGAGCACCCTACTGTCACGCGTCTGTTAGCCACTGTTGTTACTGACCCGTCGTTTGAGTCTGCTGCTGTGTCTGCCTTGGTCGCTGAGCTTGTTGACTTTGCTGCTGCCTGTCGTCTCGACTACGCTGCTAGTCTTGTTGCTGAGTCTGAGTCTGTCTGTCCTTCGTCCGTCGGGGGTGAGTGTGCTCTTGGCACGGACGTCCTTGAGGACAGACAGGAGGACCTTGAGTGTCTTGCAGCCGCTGCGCCTCATCTCATGGCCATGCTGCTTGCCCTTGAGGGAGACCCGGATGCTCTAGACATCCCTACCCCGCGCTCTTACGCTGAGGCGATCGCGGGTCCCTACTCCTCTCAGTGGCAGACAGCCATGGACGCAGAGATGGCATCCTGGAAGTCCACAGGCACTTACGTTGACGAGGTTCCCCCTCCTGGGGCGAACATCGTCGATGGCATGTGGATTTTCAGGGTGAAGCGGCCGCCGGGTTCTCCGCCTGTCTTCAAGGCTCGTTACGTTGCTCGAGGCTTCAGTCAGCGACAGGGAGTTGACTTCTTCCAGACCTTCTCCCCCACCCCGAAGATGACCACTCTTCGGGTGCTGCTGCACGTTGCCGCTCAGCGTGACTACGAGCTTCACTCTCTTGACTTCAGCACGGCTTTCTTGCAGGGCAGCCTGCACGAGGAGATCTGGCTGCGCCGTCCTCCTGGCTTCACTGGGTCTTTTCCTCCTGGTACCCAGTGGAGCCTCCGACGGCCAGTCTACGGTCTCCGCCAGGTGCCACGTGAGTGGCACGACACACTGAGGACGACACTTGCGGCTCTTGGGTTTGCTCCCTCCACTGCAGACCCTTCACTGTTCCTGCGCACAGACACCTCGCTGCCGCTGTTCTACATCCTCGTGTACGTTGACGACTTGGTCTTTGCTACTGCTGACACTGAGGCACTTGCTCTTGTGAAGTCGGAGCTACAGAAGAGACACACGTGCACAGACCTGGGTGAGCTGCGCAGTTACCTTGGCTTGCAGATCACCCGGGACAGAGCACGCCGCACCATCACCCTAACTCAGTCACACATGGTGCAGCAGGTCCTTCAGCGCTTCGGCTTCCAGTTCTCCTCACCTCAGTCCACTCCTCTGTCTACCAGCCACTCGCTCTCAGCTCCACCTTCGGACGAGTCCGTAGAGCCGAGTGGCCCGTACCCAAAGCTTGTGGGCTGCCTCATGTACCTGATGACCTGCACTTGACCTGACCTTGCGTACCCTCTTAGCATCCTAGCTCGCTACGTCGCACCTGGGAGACACAGGCGAGAGCACTGGGAGGCTGCTAAGAGGGTGCTGCGCTACTTGTGCAGTACATCAGGCATGGGGCTGGTGCTTGGAGGACAGGGCTCGGTTGTCTTCACAAGACACTCAGACGCCTCTTGGGTTCACTACCTGGCTACGCAGCGGTCGTCACAGGGTTACACTTTCAGCCTTGGCTCTGGTTCTGTCTCTTGGCGTTCCACTCGCTCTTCTTCTGTTCTCAGCTCCAGTTGTGAGGCTGAGATCTACGCCACGGCCATGGCTGCACAGGAGCTACGCTGGCTCACCTACCTGCTGACTGACCTGGGTGAGCGGCCTCGTTCTCCTCCAGTTCTGTACGGCGACAACAAGGCAGCTCTTGCCTTGTGTCAGGAGCACAGACTGGAGCACAGAACGAAGCACATTGCTCTCCGTTACTTTCTGGCTCGAGAGCTGCAGCAGCGTGGCCAGCTTCGCCTTGTGTACGTGGACTCGAAGGCCAACACTGCTGATATATTCACCAAGGCGCTTCCGCCTAGTGATCATCAGCGGCACTGCACTGCGTTAGGCCTTGTGTCCACGTTCTCTCACTTGCTTACTTCTTGACTTTGTTTGTACTGTGATCTATATATATGTCCTTGCATGCTTGCACTTGCTAGGCTTTGATCACTGTACTACTTATGTTCTTCTATATATATCTGCATGTGAACTGGCCTTGTGGCCTTTGCTTGTGCTCAGAGAGTGTGGTGACATTGTGATCCACCCTGAGCTTGTTCTTTGCTTTGCTTGACTGGTCTTGTGACCCCTTGCTCTCCCCCACTTTGCCTATGGGGGTGTGTCAAAGTATAAATGTGCTATATGTTTGTAGGCTGTAGTGGGGTAGCCAATATGGGGTACAACCCCAACTAGGGTTTCCTATTTGTACCCTTGCTTCTTTCAATCCAACCATTCTTGCCTAGACTTTCTAACAAGAACCAGAACCAAGGCTGAAGGTGTAACCCTGCGACGACCGCTGCGTAGCCAGGTCGTCAACCCAAGAGGCGTCTGAGTGTCCAGTGAGGACAATGTCACCCCGTCCTCCAAGCACCAGCCCCATGCCTGATGTACTGCACAAGTAGCGCAGCACCCTCTTAGCAGCCTCCCAGTGCTCTCGCCTGTGCCTCCCAGGCGCAACGTAGCGAGCCATGATGCTAAGAGGGTACGCAAGGTCAGGTCGTGTGCAAGTCATCAGGTACATGAGGCAGCCCACAAGCTCTGGGTACGGGCCACTCGGCTCTACGGACTCGTTCGAAGGTGGAGCTGAGAGCGAGTGACCGGTAGACAGAGGAGTGGACTGTGGTGAGGAGAACTGGAAGCCGAAGCGCTGAAGGACCTGCTGCACCATGTGTGACTAAGTCAGGGTGATGGTGCGGCATGCTCTGTCCCGGGTGACCTGCAATCCAAGGTAGCTGCGCAGCTCACCCAGGTCTGTGCACGTGTGTCTCTTCTGCAGCTCCGACTTCACAAGGGCAAGTGCCTCAGTGTCAGCAGTAGCAAAGACCAGGTCGTCGACGTACACGAGGATGTAGAACGGCGGCAGGGACGTGTCGGTGCGGAGGAACAGCGACGGGTCTGCAGTCGAAGGAGCAAACCCAAGTGCCGCAAGAGTCGTCCTCAGTGTGTCGTGCCACTCACGAGGTGCCTGGTGGAGACCGTAGACTGGCCGCCAGAGGCTCCACTGGGTACCGGGAGGGAACGACCCAGTGAAGCCAGGAGGGCGACGCAGCCAGATCTCCTCGTGTAGGCTGCCCTGCAAGAAGGCTGTGCTGAAGTCAAGAGAGTGAAGCTCGTAGTCACACTGAGCGGCAACGTGCAGCAGCACCCGAAGAGTGGTCATCTTCGGGGTAGGAGAGAAGGTCTGGAAGAAGTCAACTCCCTGTCGCTGACTGAAGCCTCGTGCAACGTAACGAGCCTTGAAGACAGGCGGAGAACTCGGCGGCCGCTTCACCCTGAAAATCCACATGCCATCGACGATGTTCGCCCTAGGAGGGGGAACCTCGTCGACGTAGGTGCCTGTGCCAAGGAAGACGCAGGGAATGGCGCGAGCAGAGAGCTTGCCCGCAGAGGGATCGCGGACAAAGGCTCGAGATCCCCAGACCCGAAAACGCGACGCATCGCCAACCTTCCCCGTCCAACGCAGTGTGGGCGAGGTCTCCGGCAAGGAGACACGGGGCCAGAGGTTGAGCTGATGCGCAGCGTACCGGACCGCAAACGGCCACAGAAAATGGGGAGCAGCCGCATGGATCATGAAGGTGCGAGCGATCTCCATGACAAGGCCAATGCGGCACTCAGCAACCCCATTCTGCTGCGGAGAGGCCGGAAGCGTGAACTGTCAGAAATAACTGAGCAGGAATGAAATGAACTAGCACAGAGTTTGGTACAAGTAGGAAACCCTAACTTTGAGTACCCCCTAAGGTGTAACCCACTACAGCCTACATAATATAAACATGCAATGTTTGACACACCCCCATAGGCGCAGTGGGAGACAACCACAGGGTCACAAGACCAGTCAAAGCAAAGCAAAGCAAGCTCAGGGTGGATCTCAAGGATTCCACACAAATTCCGAGCACAAGCAAGCGGTCACAAGACCAGTTCACATGCAGGTTTATAACAAAGCAAGAGATACAGTGATCACAACCTAGCAAAAGTAAACAAGTAGGCATATATATATAGTGATCACAGTACAAGCAAGGTCAAGAGGTAAGCAAGTGAGGCCCAGTAGGTACAAGGCCTAGCAGCGTGCAAAAGCGCTGATGGTCACAAGGCTGAAGCGCCTTGGTGAACACATCAGCAGTGTTGGCCTCCGTGGCCACGTAACGCAGACAAAGCTGACCACGCTGCTGCAGCTCTCGAGCAAGGAAGTACCGCAGAGCGATGTGCTTCGTTCTGTGCTCCAGTCTGTGCTCCTCACACAAGGCAATGGCAGCCTTGTTGTCGACGTACAGCACTGGAGGAGAACGAGGCCGCTCTCCGAGGTCGGTCAGCAGGTAGGTCAGCCAGCGTAGCTCCTGAGCAGCCATGGCTGTGGCGTAGATCTCAGCCTCACAACTGGAGCTGAGAACAGAAGAAGAGCGAGTAGAACGCCAAGAAACTGAGCCAGAGCCAAGACTGAAGGTGTAACCCTGGGACGACCGCTGAGTAGCCTGGTCGTCTGCCCAAGAAGCGTCTGAGTGCCCTGTGAGAACAACCCGGTCTCGCCCTCCAAGCACAAGCCCCATGCCCGACGTACTGCACAAGTAGCGCAACACCCTCTTAGCAGCATCCATGTGCTCCTTCCGGTGACGGCCAGGAGCGACATAGCGTGCTAGGATGCTAAGAGGGTATGCAAGGTCAGGTCGAGTGCAGGTCATCAGGTACATGAGGCAGCCCACAAGCTCTGGATACGGGCCACTCGGCTCTACGGACTCATCCGAAGGCAGAGCTGAGAGCGAGTGACTGGTAGGCAGAGGAGTGGACTGAGGCGAGGAGTACGTGAAGCGGAAGCGCTGGAGAACCTGCTGCACCATGTGTGACTGAGTCAGGGTGATGGTGCGCCGTGCTCTGTCCCGGGTGATCCGCAAGCCAAGATAGCTCGTCAGCTCACCCAGGTCTGTGCACGTGTGTCTCCTCTGCAGCTCCGACTTCACGTGAGCGAGTGCCGCGGTGTCAGCAGTGGCAAAGACCAAGTCGTCGACGTACACGAGGATGTAGAACGGCGGCAGCGAGGTGTCGGTGCGTAGAAACAGTGACGGGTCAGCAGTAGAGGGAGCGAACCCAAGAGCCGCAAGTGTCGTCCTCAGTGTGTCGTGCCACTCACGTGGCGCCTGGCGGAGACCGTAGACCGGCCGCTGAAGCCTCCACTGGGTGCCAGGAGGAACTGACCCAGTGAAGCCAGGGGGGCGGCGCAGCCAGATCTCCTCGTGCAGGCTGCCCTGCAAGAAAGCAGTGCTGAAGTCAAGAGAGTGAAGCTCGTAGTCGCGGTGAGCGGCTATGTGCAGCAGCACCCGAAGAGTAGTCATCTTCAGGGTGGGGGAGAAGGTCTGAAAGAAGTCTACTCCCTCTCGCTGACTGAAGCCTCGAGCCACGTAGCGCGCCTTGAAGACAGGTGGAGAACCCGGCGGCCGCTTCACCCTGAAAATCCACATGCCACTGACGATGTTCGCCCCAGGAGGGGGAACCTCGTCTACGTAGGTGCCTGTGGACTTCCAGGAGGCCATCTCTGCGTCCATGGCTGTCTGCCACTGAGAGGAGTAGGGACCCGCCATCGCCTCAGCGTAAGAGCGTGGGGTCGGGATGTCTGGTGCATCCGGGTCTCCCTCAGGGGCAACTAGCAAGGACACGAGACGGGGCAAAGCAGCAGCAAGGCAGTGGAACTCCTCCTGTCTGTCCTCAAGGACGTCCGTGCCGAGGGCACACTCACCCCCGACGGACGGAGGACAGGCAGACGCAGACTCAGACCTAGCGACAAGGCTGGCAGCGTAGTCTAGGCGACAGCGAGCAGCAAAGTCAACCAACTCAGCGACCAGAGCAGACGCAGCAGAGGACTCAAAGGTCGGGTCAGTGACAACTGTAGCGAGGAGACGCGTAACAGTGGGACTGGCAGCACGACGGGAGTCAGACTCCGGGTCAGGAAGAGTAGGAAGAGAGGACGCAGGAGGAGACGGCAGCGGGACACGCTGCGGAGCAGTGGAGGGACGCAGAGTCATGTAGTGAGTGCCAGGGACAGGAGGAGGACGCTCACGTGGGACACGACGACCAGTGCGAGCAGTACGAACAGGCGACGCAGGACGAGACTCAGGCTCACGACGCTCTGTAAGACCTCCTGTGGGACCAGCGTAAGGGGAGGGAGCAGGGAGAGGCGAGGCAGGCGGTAACTGTGACTGCGGCTGGACAGGCAGAGGACACTCGACGGAGGGAGGAGGACTAGGAGGAGGAGCCTGACCAAGAACCTGCTGAAGGAGCGGTACGAAGTACGGTCGCGGCCGCGCAGCGTCTCCAGAAGCAGCAGGGACACCAGTGGCAGCCCCAACGCCCGAGTCCTCAGCACCAGCAGCAGCACCACCGGTCGGGTCCTCAGCACCAGCAGCAGCTCCAACGCCCGGGTCCTCAGCACCAGCAGCACGGCCACTGGTCAGGTCCTCAGCACCAGCAGCAGCGCCACCGGTCGGGTCCTCAGCACCAGTAGCAGCTCCAACGCCCGGGTCCTCAGCACCAGCAGCAGCTCCAGCCCCCGGGTCCTCAGCACCAGCAGCAGCTCCAACGCCCGGGTCCTCAGCACCAGCAGCAGCTCCAGCCCCCGGGTCCTCAGCACCAGCAGCAGCTCCAGCGTCCGGGTCCTCAGCACCAGCAACAACACCACCGCTCGGGTCCGCAGCACCAGGAGCACCACTACGAAGACTGCAGCGCCGCGTGTACCACTCGCGGATCACCTGAAGGGAACAGGGAACAGCGCGACGCGAGAGCTTGTCCGCGGACGTGTCGCGGACAAAAGCTCGAGATCCCCAGACCCGGAAACGCGACGCATCGCCAACCTCTCCCGTCCACCGAAGAGTCGGGGAAGTCTCCGGCAAGGAGACACGGGGCCAGAGGTTGAGCTGATGCGCTGCGTACCGGACCGCAAACGGCCACAGAAAGTGGGGAGCAGCCGCATGGGTCAGGGAGGTACGAGCGACCTCCATGACCAAGCCAATGCGGCGCTCAGCGACCCCATTCTGCTGTGGAGAGGCCGGAAGCGTGTACGACTGCTCAATGCCGTGCTCAGCACAGTAGGCTGCCAAGAGGTCGGAGGCAAACTCACCACCTCTGTCAGAGTGCAAGCGCAGGACAGGAAAGTCCGAGTGAAAGCGCTCGCCTAGCTGGAGACGGGCTCGGCTGATCCAGGGGATCAAAACACCAGGGACGTCACCCTTGGCGCGCAAGGGGAAGACCGTGGTGTAGCGCGAGTAGTCGTCAACAACTATCAGGAAGTATCTCTCCTGACCCTGACCACGGACGCGGGCTGGGCCCCACACGTCCATGTGGAGCGTCTGCAGGGGAGCGGTCGTCGGGGGAAAGGAGGAGGAGTGAGGAGCGGCGCGCTGCCGCCCCTCGACACAGGGAATGCAGTCAGGAGCAGGGGAGTCAGGAAGGGGAGGGAGCACCCTGGGAAGACCAGCAACAAGGTCCCGTTTGTGCATGGCCCGCAGGCGCTGTACAGACGGGTGACCAAGGCGGTGGTGCCAGAGGACGGTGTCGTTCGCCAGAGAGCGACACGAGCAGGGGGCGGACAGCTGACCTGACGCTGACGCAGACGCAGCTACCTGAGGGGACTCAGTGGTCAGTGTGTACAGGTCAGACCCCGGCTCTCGAGTGAAAGTAGCTAGGTGGCGGCCCGTCCGAGCACACGTGCAGTGAGTCACACGCTCGTAGGCAGGGGTGAACTGGTGAACACCCCCGTCCTGGAGCGCACTACCTGCCACCAAGTTCGTGGAGAACGAGGGGAGGTAGAGACCTGAGAGCGTGCCGGACGGAACCGCTGGACACGGAAGGGTGGTGGAGGAGGTCGCAAGGACCGGACCCCCAGAGGGGTCAGCAAGAGAGACAGCAACCGGCCGAGCTAGAGGCTCAAGGACAGTGCGGTCACGAAAGAAAGAGCGAGAAGCACCTGAGTCCAGTGTGAAGGTGTGCAGTGCTGCAGTCGACTCAGTACCAGGGGGCACAGACGCACAAGCACCTAGAGCAGCAGCTGCAGTAGTACCTGTGGAAGCAGACACACTAGCACCTAGAGCAGCAGCGGGGCTGGCCTGAATGCCCGGGTCGGGCGGAACACGCAAGTACTGAGCACCCTCTCCACTAATAGACATCGCATACATGGCAGTGAGAATAGCATCAAAGTCTAGTGCCCAAATATCAACACCCTTCCTGAGCAGCTCAGCCCAGCGCGGCAGCTCACCCCCACCAGGAAACTGGGTGCGCCACGCATCGTTGAGGCGGGCGAAGCAGCGCTCCGTCTGGTGCGGCCCCCCACACGTCTGGCCAGTGCGGTCACCTGTACGAATAACGTACTGGCAGGTGACGCTGCGCCGCGCATACCACTCACGGGCGGCCTGAAGGGTCGGGGCAGGCTGCTGACTCTGACCGCCCCCCGGGCCTCCACGACCACCACCCCCTCCGCCTCCGCCCCGGCCACCTCCACCCCTGCCGCTGCCACGACCACCTCCGCCTCCGCTGCCACCTCCGCCCCTGTCACCACTCCCAACGCCGCTGTCACCTCCACCACTGCCGCCACTAGCCTCTCCAGTCGCACCTCCACCGCCACCACCTCCACCCCCGCCTCCTCCGCCACCACCCCCACTCCTGCCACTCCTGCCCCTGCGTCGTCCGCCTGAAGCAGACGCAGCCCCGACCTTCTCAGCACCAAGGAGGTCGACAGCAGCAGCAGAGGCGACAGAGGGGAGGAGGGGGGAAGGGGAGCACCCCTCAAAGAAGGGGCCGCGGGGGTCGCCACGAGAGGTGCCTACAGCGACGATACTAGTCTCGGCTGCAAGCAGTTCCTTCTCGAGGAGGTCTACGGTGAGCTCAGTGGGGGAGCGAGAGAGGAACTGGTCCCTGACAGGGCGCAGAGAGTCAGGGAGGCGGGTGACAACGTGGTAGAGAGTGATCCAGAGCGGGGGGGGGTTGCTAGCGAGGAACTCGTCAGGCATGGCAGCGCGAAAGCGAGCCTCACTAGTCTTAAGGTGGGTGATGAGGTCTGCGACAGTGTGAAAGGAGGCTAGGTCGGGGAACAGGTAGGGGAGAGTGAGGCGGCCTAGCGTGGCAGAAGCGGGTGAGGAGTAGCGGGCCACTACAGCCGTGTAGAGGTCCTTAGCAGTCTTGCACTGGCCGAAGTGCTCGCGCTCATCTAGCGGCAGGGAGTTGCGAATAGCAAAGCGAGCGTGCGCGTCACGGGTCTGCCACTGTGAGCGCTCAGCTGGGGGGGCAGTAGCGAGTGGGGCGGTCGCATGGCCGAGAGCGTGGTCGTACAGTGTAATATCTTCCTTGGCAGTGAGCTGTAGGAAAAGGTGCAGGTCATCTAGCCAGGTTTCGAATTTGACCGGACGGCCCTCGGCATCGAAAGCTAGAACAGGAGGACTAGCCATAGCGACAGCGGCAGTAGTAGAAGCAGTAAAGTCACTGAAAAGGCGTGCGCAGGGTCAGCGGGGCCGGTGGGGCCTACGGACTGTAGTGGCGCACAAGCAGCAGTAGCAGGAAGTGTAGTAGTAGGATCTGCAGTGGTGCACAGGCGCAGCAGGCGGCAGCGAGAGCCGGCGCAGCAGGGGCGGGCTCAGCAGCGGTGATACGCGGGCGGCGGCAGGCGCAGCAGCGGCGGTGATACGCGGGCGGCGGCGGGCGCAGCAGCGGCGGTGCGCGGGCGGCGGCGGGCTCAGCAGCAGCGGTGCGCGGGCGGCTGCGGGCTCAGCAGCGGCGGGCCGGGAGCAGGCAGCGCGCGGGCCGTGCGGGCCGTATGTGAGCTGCGCGGGCAGCGTGCGGGCCGGCGGCGGTCAGCGCAAGAGCCGCGCAGGCTCAGCGCGGGCTGCGCGGGCTGCTCGCGGGCTGCGTAAGCGGGTCGCGGGCGGCTCGCGGGGGTTCGCGGGCAGGTCGCGGGCTGCTCGCGGGCAGTTCGCGGGCTGTGCGCGGGCTGCGCGGGCTGGTCGCGGGCTGCGCAGGCGGTTCGCGGGCTGTGCGTGGGCGGTTCGCGGGCTGTGAGCGCGGCGCGCTGTGCGGTTCGCGGGCGGCGTGACGGGGCCGATCGGGGCGCTAAGGGGCGACGCGACGGGGGCCGTGAGAGGCCGCTAAAAAAAAATTCGAAGGGGCCGCAGGGCCGCTAGATCGTGCTAGATCGACGGGGCCAGCGGGGCCGGAAACAAGCGAAGGTAAGCAGGTAGGTAAGTCGGTGGGCCCTAAGAACAGTCCTAGCGAAGGACCTGCTCTGAAACCATGTCAGAAATAACTGAGCAGGAATGAAATGAACTAGCACAGAGTTTGGTACAAGTAGGAAACCCTAACTTTGAGTACCCCCTAAGGTGTAACCCACTACAGCCTACATAATATAAACATGCAATGTTTGACATGAACGACTGGAGGATGCCCTCCCCCTGACAAAAGTCCCGCAAGAGGTCGGAGGAAACCTAACCGCCTCTGTCAGAGTGCAGACGTAGGACGGGAAAGTCCGTCTGGAAACGGTCGCGGAGCTGGAGACGAACAGCGCGGATCCAAGGGATCAAGACAGCAGGGACTTCACCCCGCACCCGTACCACGAGTAGTCGTCAACAACCAGCAGAAAGTACTGCTCGCGGCCCTGTCCACGGACGCGAGCTGGGCCCCACACGTCCATGTGGAGAGTCTGCAGGGGAGCGTCTATTGGGGGAAACGAGGAGGAGTGAGGAGCGGCGCACTGCCGCCCCTCGACACAAGGGAGACACGGCGGGGCAGGCAAGCGAGGGAGCGACGGCAGGGACCGGGGAAGACAAGAGACAAGCAGACGAGAGTGCATGCTGCGGAGGCGCGGCAGAGAGGGGTGACCAAGGCGGTGGTGCCAGAGGAGAGTCTAGTGCGACAGGTGACAACACAAGCAAGGGGCAGACTCCGGTCCGGACAAGGACACCTGACCAGTAGCAGCAACCTGGGGAGACCCGACAGTCAGGGTGTACAGACTCGACCCAGGCCGACGGGTGAACGTGGCTAGGTGGCGGCCCATGCGAGCACACGTGCAGATCGCCACACGACGTCCTCCAGGGGTGAAGGTGTCAACCCACTCATCCTGGATGACGGCGTTACTCACCAGGTTCGTAGAGAACGAGGGGAGGTGGAGACCTGTAAGTGAGCCAGACGGGACCGCCGGACAGGGGAGGACAGTGGAGGAACGTGCAAGGATAGGTCCCCCAGAGGGGTCAGCAAGGGAGACGGGAACAGGTGCAGAGAGCGGTGTGACTGTGGTGCTGTCGCAGAAGAAGCAGCAAGAGGCACCTGAGTCTAGCGTGAAAGTGTACAAGGCCTCAGTAGGCGCAGTACCTGAGAGTCACCAGCACCTAGGGCAGCAGACTCGCAAGCACCAAGGGCAGCAGACTCACAAGCACCTGGAGCAGCAGCCTCTATACCAGGGTCTGGCGGAACACACAGGTAACAGTCACCCTCAGCACTAACAGTCAATGCATACATGGCAGTAAGGATAGCATCATAGTCAAGATCAAAGATCTCTACTCCCCTCCTAAGCAGATCAGCCCAGTTGGGCAGTTCAGAGCAGTCAGGAAACTGAGCACGCCAGGCGTCACTAAGGCGGGAAAAACAGCGTTGCTGGGTGTGCAGCTTCCCGCAGATCTGACCAGCACGTTCACCCGTACATATAACATACGGGCAGGTACCACCACCCCCAGGCGTACCACTCACGAAGGTCCTGCGGCGTACGGGGCAGGCGCTGGCGCTGCTGCTGCTGTGCCTGGCTGCCTCCAGAGCCGCCGCGCTGGGCCGCACCACTGCGACCACCGCCACCGACTCCGCTGCCACTCCCACCACCGCCACCTCCGCCGCTGGTACCCCCACCGCCGCCGCCAGTACCGACCCCAACACCTCCACCCCCACCCCCACCCCCGCCGCTCCCACCACCCCCGCCGCCACCACCCGAGCCTCCACCACCGCCTCCACTCCCACCACCCCCACCACCCCTACCGCCCTTCGCCTTGCCGCTGCGGCGCCTGCCACAGGAAGCAGACGCAACCCAGCCTCCTCAGCACCAAGGAGGTCGACAGCAGCAGCAGTGGCGACAGAGGGGAGGAGGGGAGAGGGGGAACACCCCTCGAAGAAGGGGGTGCGAGGAGTGCCTCGAGAAGCGCCTACAGTGTTAATGCTAACCTCGGCCACTGTAAGGTGCTTTCCGAGGAAGGAGGTCTATAGTGAGCTCAGTGGGGTCCATGGCTAGGAAGGTGTCCCTGATAGCACGAAGAGAGTCAGGAAGGTGAGTGACTAGGAGGTAGAGGGTGTAGTGAATAGGGGGAGGGTTCTTGGCGAGGAAGTCGGCAGGGGTCGCAGCACGCACCCTAGCGTCGCTAGTGCGGAGGTGGGTGATGAGATCAGCGACTGTAGGAAAGGCGGACAGGTCAGGAAAGAGGTAGGGCAGGATGAGACGGCCTAGCGCAGCAGTGGCAGGCGAGCTGTAGCGAGCTACGACTGCGTCGAACAGGTCCTTGGCGGTTTTCTGCTGGCTAAAGTGCGCGCGCTCGGCTAGCGGCAGGTGGTTCGCACAGCTAGGCGAGCAGCAGCGTCGCGAATAAGCCACTGGTCACGAGTGTCAGCGTCAGCAGTGTCTGCAGGGGCGGCAGCGCTACCAGACGTATGAGCGAACAGGGACACACGATCCTTAGACTCGCACTGAAGGTAGAGCCTAAGGTCGTCTAACCAGGTCTCAAATTCTATCGGGCGGCCATCTGCGTCAAAGTGAGAACATTATAAGTCGCCATCGTTGGTAGCGCAGGGCAGGAAGGCGGAGCTGACTAGGTTAGGACGCGGACGGCATGCACACGCAGAGCATGGAGCGCGGCGGGCGGCACGGCGCACGGGCAGGGTAGGTGGCGCGGCGGCGGGCGGCGCACAGGCAGGGCAGGGAGGCGCGGCTTCGGGCTGCGCACGGGTAAGGCAGGGAGGCGCGGCGGCCGGCCGCGCACGGGCACTACAGGGGGCGCGGCGGGGGGCTGCGCACGGGCAGGGTAGGTCGGCGCGGTGGCGGGCTGCGCACGGGCAACGCAGTGCGCGCACGAGCGGCGCACGGGCAGGGCAGGCGCGCGGGCGGCGGGGCGACGCGGCAGCAGCGCGACGCGGCTAGCAGCGCGCGCGGGGTGGTGCAGGCAGAGCAGCGCGCTAAAAAAAATATTCGCGCTGCAGCAGATGGCGCGCGGCTAGCAGGGGCAGCGCGACTCGGGGCAGTGGGGTAACGTGGTAACGGTGGGTCCCATGATGCAACTTAGGTCCTAAGGACCCATGGCTCTTAATACCATGTTAGAACAATCAACTAGGATGGTTGGACTAAGGCAAGCAAAGATACAAGTATCAAACCCTAAAGGGGTTGTACCCCTTAGTGGCTACCCCACTGCAGCCTACAGTACACACTCAACAATATAATGTTTGACACTCCCATCACTCCCATCACGCCCATCACGCCCATCACGCCCATCACGCCCCTCGCTCCTCTCGCGCCCCTGGCAGTGGGACCAAGAGCCTGTGAAGGCAGAGGCGGAGCACAAGTGCCTGCAGTTGGCCTTTGAGGCGCCTGAAATTGTCGGCCTCTCACTCCTCTCACTCCCCTCTCACTCCTCCCTCCCCCCTCTCACTCCTCTCACTCCTCCCACTCCTCTCACTCCTCACTCCTGTCGCTGTGGGAGCAAGAGCCCATGAAGGCGAACCAGGAGCGCTCGCAGGCGCCTGAAAGTGTCGACCTCTAACTCCTCCCTACTTCTCACTCCTCTCACTCCTCCCTACTTCTCACTCCTCTCACTCCTCCCTACTTCTCACTCCTCTCACTCCTCCCTACTTCTCACTCCTCTCACTCCTCCCTACTCACTCCTCTCACTCCTCCCTACTTCTCACTCCTCTCACTCCTCCCCACTTCTCACTCCTCTCACTCCTCCCACTCCTCTCACTCCTCATTCCCCTCGCTGTGGGAGCAAGAGCCCATGAAGGCGGACCAGGAGCGCTCGCAGGTGGGCGGCGACGTCTGGACCGAGGAACCGGCTGGCGACGGCTTGCAGCTGGGAGGCAAGGATTGGCCCGACTAGGCGGTCGATGAACAATTGCACTTGGGAGGCGTGGTCTGGACCAAGGAGGAGGAGGAGGAGGTCTGAGGCGGAGAGGAGGAGAGCCAGGGCGAGGAGAAAAAGGGCTGTGAGTATGAGCAGTGTTACCCAGCCTGGTGGGGGGTGGGGAGGGTCAGACAACGTAGCATGGGGAGGGAGAAGAGGACTGTGAGTATGAGGGCTGAGCTGAAGGCGCTTGTTAATCCATCCAGGCACGCGGTGCATCCATGCAGGCATGCGGTGCATCCATGCAGGCACGCAGTGCATCCATGTAATGGCATGTGGAGCAAAGGCACACACAACCATGGCGTCTTGACCCCCTTCGTGCCTCCCACACCAAGCAATCCAACACCCCCCCCCCACAACCCATAGCCCCAGCAAGAACCCAAGCGAGAGCCCGTGATCCAGCACCCAAGCGAGAGCCCGTGATCCAGCACCCAAGCGAGAGCCCGTGATCCAGCACCCAAGCGAGAGCCCGTGATCCAGCACCCAAGCAAGAGCCCGTGATCCAGCACCCAAGCGAGAGCCCGTGATCCAGCACCCAAGCGAGAGCCCGTGATCCAGCACCCAAGCGAGAGCCCGTGATCCAGCACCCAAGCGAGAGCCCGTGATCCAGCACCCAAGCGAGAGCCCGTGATCCAGCACCCAAGCGAGAGCCCGTGATCCAGCACCCAAGCGAGAGCCCGTGATCCAGCACCCAAGCGAGAGCCCGTGATCCAGCACCCAAGCGAGAGCCCGTGATCCAGCACCCAAGCGAGAGCCCGTGATCCAGCACCCAAGCGAGAGCCCGTGATCCAGCACCCAAGCAAGAGCCCGTGATCCAGCACCCAAGCGAGAGCCCGTGATCCAGCACCCAAGCAAGAGCCCGTGATCCAGCACCCAAGCGAGAGCCCGTGATCCAGCACCCAAGCGAGAGCCCGTGATCCAGCACCCAAGCGAGAGCCCGTGATCCAGCACCCAAGCGAGAGCCCGTGATCCAGCACCCAAGCGAGAGCCCGTGATCCAGCACCCAAGCGAGAGCCCGTGATCCAGCACCCAAGCGAGAGCCCGTGATCCAGCACCCAAGCGAGAGCCCGTGATCCAGCACCCAAGCGAGAGCCCGTGATCCAGCACCCAAGCGAGAGCCCGTGATCCAGCACCCAAGCGAGAGCCCGTGATCCAGCACCCAAGCGAGAGCCCGTGATCCAGCACCCAAGCGAGAGCCCGTGATCCAGCACCCAAGCGAGAGCCCGTGATCCAGCACCCAAGCGAGAGCCCGTGATCCAGCACCCAAGCGAGAGCCCGTGATCCAGCACCCAAGCGAGAGCCCGTGATCCAGCACCCAAGCGAGAGCCCGTGATCCAGCACCCAAGCAAGAGCCCGTGATCCAGCACCCAAGCGAGAGCCCGTGATCCAGCACCCAAGCGAGAGCCCGTGATCCAGCACCCAAGCGAGAGCCCGTGATCCAGCACCCAAGCGAGAGCCCGTGATCCAGCACCCAAGCGAGAGCCCGTGATCCAGCACCCAAGCGAGAGCCCGTGATCCAGCACCCAAGCGAGAGCCCGTGATCCAGCACTGACCTTGGCCGGCGGGCTTGGCAGCGACAGCTGTGACACGCGCACTGGAGTCACCCGACACTGACAGCAGCGCCCTGGGGGGGTGAGACGAGGGGCGACAGAGAATCGCTTGCTTCTGATGATTCTCAAGGACCGACTATCCATGCCCCACACCCACAGCACCAGCAACCTAAGCGGGAATTGGGGGGGAGAAGGTGTGTTGTCGTGGGGTGTAGGGTGTGGGGGCATGAGGCGTGCGGCATGTGGGAGCGGGGGCAAAGGAAACAAGAAGGGCATGGGGCGTGGTGGTGTGGTGTGGGGACATCTGGGGGTAGGAGGAGGCAGGGGAGGGTGATGGTTGGTTTGCCAGGTAGATTCCTCATGACCCACATGCACGGACATGGCACTCTTTGGCGGATGAGGGCTGCGGAAAAGGGTGACAGGGGATGAGAGTGGTGTGGTAAGAGGCAAGGACAGGGCTGCTGGGAATGATCCAGACAGGTGCTGCAGGGGACAAGGGGTGGGAGAGGGGGGAATTGGATTGGAGGGAGAGAGCTGGATTTGGGTTAGTCGTGTCTGGACCAACAGTTAGTCGTGTCTGGACCAACAGTTAGTCGTGTCTGGACCAACAGTTAGTCGTGTCTGGACCAACAGTTAGTCGTGTCTGGACCAACAGTTAGTCGTGTCTGGACCAACAGTTAGTCATGTCTGGGCATATGCTGCATTTTGTTTGTTTGAGCTTTGTTGCGACTTTCTCAGTTTGATTTTCCAGCGCCACAACGGACCTGGAGTTGGGCGAGAACTCGAGAGCGGTGACGAACACCAGGTGCGCGCCCACCACTCTCCCCCTACCCACAATCCCCTAACTGATCGCACGCGTTTATTCCCAAGGCCCCTCCATAGCAGTTGCCGCATTCAACGCACCTGGATTTGGGCGAGAACTCGAGAACGGTGACAAAGACCAGGAGCGCGCCCCCACCCAACACCACCTCAGCCCTGCAGTCCCCTTCTTGATCGCACACATTGATTCTCGAGGCCCCTCAATAGCACTCGCCGCACCTGGAGTTGGGCGAGAACTCGAGCGCAGTGACGAAGACCAGATGCGCTCCCACCACTCTCTGTCTCACGCTCAGCGTGCGCGCGTCCACTATGAACACATTGCCCTCCGGGGTTCCCCTGTGGATGGCAGGCATGCACACAGCAACAGACAGCAGCACCGCGGCACAGCTCAGGAAATAACTTTTGAGTCGACTAAAAAAGAGTGGGGTGACTTTTGAGTCGACTCAAAAAGCCCTCTGTGGATAGCAGGCATGCACACAGCAAGAGACAGCAGCACAGCGGCACGGCTGAGGAGATGGCACACAGGATGACCGAGCAGCGAATCGAGATGTAGGGAATGGCGAAGCGCCGTCATTCCTGAGGCGAATGAAGGATATAGGAGCTAGCGGGCGGACCCACAGCAGAGGGAAAAATGGAGCGAGGGGAATAAGGGCGGCGGTTAAGGAGGTTGATGAAGAGAGAATGAGAGGGCGAAAGGCGTAGTAGGGGAGCAGAGGGAATGGGTAGAAGGGGGGTTGAAGAGAGAGGGGAGGATGCAGAAGTGCGGAAACAGGAGAAAATGGATGGAGCAGAGTGGTGGGTGGGATCAAACGTGGCAAGGAGGCAGGAGGCGCTCCAGCACGCAACATACGTGGCGAGAAGGGAGGAGTCGGGGCTGCTGAGAGCAAATGCAGAGATGGGGTCGTTGTGGATCTTCCTCACTGCCATCCTTTTGAGATAGAGTCCTAACCTTAAGATCCACAACTCAAAAGTGACTCTTACGTGGCGAGGAGGGAGGAGTCGGGGCTGATGGCAAATGCAGAGATGGGGTCATTGTGTATCTTCCTCACCGCCACCCGCCTCCATGCTGCTGTCTCCCACACCACCACCCACCCCTTGCCACCTGCCGTGCAGAGAAGATGGGGCGGAGAGAGAAGGGAGGGGGGTGAGAACCGAGGAAGTGAGAATGGAGGGGGAGTGAGAAGAGAGGTGAGAAGGGAGGGGGAGTGAGTGAAAAGGGAGGGGGAGTGAAAAGGGACGGGAAGCGAGAAGGGAGGGGGCTGAGAGGGGAAGGGAGTGTATGGTTTCACCCTGGTCAAGTGAGGAATCAAGGATCAACTTTTGAGTGAATCCATAAGTCACCTCAAAAACCACACTGGACAGCTATAGACAACCAATTCTGCTTCTCTTACGCTCACCCTTTCCCCCTTCCTCTCACCCTTGACACAGGTGGAGTAGAGCAGCGGCTTGCTGGGGTCCCCCTCGCCCCTCGATCCCCCCTCGCCCCTCGATCCCCCCTCACTCCTCGATCCCCCCTCGCCCCTCATCCCTCTCCAACCTCCACCTCCCTCTCTCCTCAGGACGCGGTAAAAGTGCTCGATCGGGGGGAGATCGATCCGGTCACCGCACTGGACCCCCGCATTTTGCATACGAAAGGTACACACCGTTTACAACCGCGCTAAAAAACGATCCTGAGGCGATCGATTCTCCACTTTTACCGCGTCCTCAACCCCCCACACCCCGACCCCTCTGCCCCCGCTTCTCACCCCTCCCTCCCCCCTTTCCTCTCACCCTTAACACAGGTGGAGTAGAGCAGCGGCTTGCTGGGGTCTCTGGAAAATCGGCACAGTCCAAAGCGCGCCCCGCCCTGAGGGGTGGGGATGGGTTGGAGGGTGAAACACGGGAGTGTGTGGGTGGAGGACAGAGTGAGAGAGGATGTGGGGAAGAGGGAGGGCGTCGTTGTGTGAGGGAGGAGTGGTGGCTATTGAGAACGATGCTGAGAAGTGAGGGGTGATGCTGAGAGGCAGAGGAGGAGAGTGTGAGGGAGGTGCGCTGGCAAAGAGAGCTGTGCAACCAGTGGGTGTGTTGTGATAAAGGGAGCCGCACATTGCATTGCATCAAATGCCCTTCCCTGGGATGGGAGAACTAGAGCCTTCTATCAGGGCGAGCACAAGTAGTGCTGTGCTGTGTGCTGTGCTGTGCTGTGCTGTGCTGTGCTGTGCTGTGCTGTGCTGTGCTGTGCTGTGCTGTGTTGTGCTGTGCTGTGCTGTGCTGTGCTGTGCTGTGCTGTGCTGTGCTGTGCTGTGCTGTGCTGTGCTGTGCTGTGCTGTGTTGTGCTGTGCTGTGCTGTGCTGTGCTGTGCTGTGTTGTGCTGTGCTGTGCTGTGCTGTGCTGTGCTGTGCTGTGCGGTACTTGTTAGAAAACTGAATGTCAGTTTCATTAAGGAAAGCAGAGGTTTACATAGTTGGAGAAGGAGGGATGAGTTGGATGAGGGCCTTGCCACAATTATTGGCCCTCACCAATGGGGTCACCAATCAGGGGCCAATAATTGTGGTAGAGAACCACAAATACTGAACCTCCTCCAATAATGGGGAGCTCAATTATTGGGGGGTCACAATATTTGGACCAAGGTTGGGTTGGACCTACCCCTCAATTGGGGCAAACCCTGATTCTACACCCGAGCTAAACTTGGGTGCTTGTAACTACCCAAGACTTAATAGTCTCAGCATGATACAAGAAAAAGAGTAATCTAACAGTACTGTGTTGTGCTATGCGGTGATGTGCTGAGGGCTGCTGGCTGAAAACACGAGAGAAAGGGAAAGCTGACTTGTGCAGTGGAAAGTGTTGACCTCAGCAGTGAAGGGTGCTGACCTCAGCAATGAAGGGTGCTGACCTCAGCAATGAAGGGTGCTGACCTCAGCAATGAAGGGTGCTGACCTCAGCAATGAAGGGTGCTGACCTCAGCAATGGAGAGGGTGGCAAGCGCCGTCCCCTTGCGCACGCTCCACACCCTCAGAGGGCCCGCGTCCGCTGTGGTGGCCACTAGTGAGCTGTCCAGGCTGGCACGGTGCGGGGGGGGGGAAACGGGGGGGGGGGAGGTGGGTGGAAGGAGCATGCGGGGGTGGGGGGGGGAGGGGGAGTAGGGAAGGCCTGCTGTGGTGGCCACTAATGAGCTGTCCAGACTGGCACGGTGCAGGGATGGAGGCGTGGGGGGAGGTGTGGAGGTTTGTCAGAGGAGAGGAGCGTGGGGAGGGTGTGGGACTGCTGTGTTCGACAGTGAGCCGTCCAGACTGGCGTGCTGCAGGGGGAACGGGGGGGGGGGGAGGTAAAGGGTGTGGGGTAAGGCGGGGATTTGAGAGGGGAGGAGAGGGGAGCGGGGAGAGGGAAGAGGGAAGAGGGGTTGGAGGATCTGGATTGCCAGCCGCGAGCCTCAGCATGGGTAAGATGGGGGGATTTCCAGACTGGCGCGTTTCCAGAGGGGGGCAGAAGATGGACGGTCGGTTGGCGCAAGATGGGGGGTTTGAGAGGGGAGGATAGGGGGTGGCACCAGGTATTGACACCATAGCTTCCACCTGGAGGGCTCTGTTGAGTTCATCCCATCCCCCTCAGGTGGTGGTGGGGCAGTGTGCTGGGTGGGGGTTATGGGATGGGACTCATGATATGGGCTGCTTGAAAGCGGGCGCCCTTGACACGCCAACTCAGACATGACATGGCGCATCCCATCCCTCTCAGGTGCACACAGAACCTCACACACGCACAGTTGTATCCATAATCCATGGCACGGAGGCACGTCCATGGCACGGAGGCACGTCCAAGGAAGCGCGGCACAGGGTTGAGAGGGCGGGACTCCACACCGCACACGGCACCTCTCACACGCATGCCACCCGAACCTTTCACCATGGGGTATGCATGATGCCGGCATCTCCGAGGGAGGAGGTGCGCACTGGATGTACTTAACATGGGACTCCAATCACGGGTTGACATGACCGAGGAGAGTTAGAAGCGTTGCACGTACTTGGTATCGGCATCTCTGAGGGAGGAGCTGTGGGCGCGGGGCACGTCCATCAGAACGTCCATGCTGGCCATCCGCCACACAGCACCACACAGCACATCTTGCATACACACACGCACGCAGCATGGGACGGGGCGTACTTGATATCGGCGTCTCTGAGGGAGGACGTGTGAGCACGAGGCACATCCATCAGCACGTCCATGCTGGGCCACTCAAACACACGCACACGCCCATCCTCACTCCCCGCCACCACTCTGCACCCATCCGCACTGAACAGCAAACACTTCACCTCCGCCGCCTTCTCCTCCTCCTCCTCCCCTTTCCCCCCCTTCTCCCCTTCCCCCTCCTCCTTTTCCCCCTTCTTTCCCCCTTTCCCGTCCCCTGTTCCCTCCTCTCCCGCCTCTTGCCCTTCTCCCCCCTCCCCCTCCCCCGCCCCCTCCTCCTCCCCCGGTCCCAGCCATTTCAGGCGCACATCGCTGTGAACGAGCTGCAGATCCTCCAAAGGTACTGCTTCCTCACTCGCCCTTCTCGCCGCAACCACCGCCTCTCCCCTCCCCGCCCCTGCGCCCCCCTCCTTCCCCTCCGCCTCCTCTGCCTTGCCTGCTGCGCCGCCCTCGCCCTCCCCTGGCGTCACTTGGAAGAGACTGGGCTAGCGGGCGGGGGGAGGGAAGAGGGGGGGGGGAAGAGATAGAACACGGGGGAAGGGAGGTGGGTAAGATGGAACACGGGGGAAGGGAGGTGGGTAAGATGGAACACGGGGGAAGGGAGGTGGGTAAGATGGAACACGGGGGAAGGGAGGTGGGTAAGATGGAACACGGGGGAAGGGAGGTGGGTAAGATGGAACACGGGGGAAGGGAGGTGGGTAAGATGGAACACGGGGGAAGGGAGGTGGGTAAGATGGAACACGGGGGAAGGGAGGTGGGTAAGATGGAACACGGGGGAAGGGAGGTGGGTAAGATGGAACACGGGGGAAGGGAGGTGGGTAAGATGGAACACGGGGGAAGGGAGGTGGGTAAGATGGAACAGGGCGGGTTAGAGGGCGCAAGAAAGGGTAGGGAGAGGAGACGGGGATGGGAATGGGAGACGGCGGGGTAGAGGGCAGGGTGGAGGGAGGAGGAAGCGGGGAGGATGGGAGGGAAGGAGACGCTTTGGTTGGTGGGAGTTTGGAACAGGCTTGTCTCGCATGCGAGAAGAAATGGCAGCAGGTAGCAATGAGGGGACGAGAGGGGACGAGAGGGGACGAGAGGGGACGAGAGGGGACGAAGGGGGTGGAAAGGGGGAGAAGGCGGAGTGAAGCAGTAGAACGGGGAAAGGGGAGAAGGGGGAGTGAAGCAGTAGAACGGGGAAAGGGGAGAAGGGGGAGTGAAGCAGTAGAACGGGGAAAGGGGAGAAGGGGGAGTGAAGCAGTAGAACGGGGAAAGGGGAGAAGGGGGAGTGAAGCAGTAGAACGGGGAAAGGGGAGAAGGGGGAGTGAAGCAGTAGAACGGGGAAAGGGGAGAAGGGGGAGTGAAGCAGTAGAACGGGGAAAGGGGAGAAGGGGGAGTGAAGCAGTAGAACGGGGAAAGGGGAGAAGGGGGAGGGGGGGGGGGAAGGGGGAGAAGGGGGGGAGAAGGGGGAGAAGGGGGGGAGAAGGGGGAGAAGGGGGGGAGAAGGAGGAGGAGAGAAGAGGGAGGGAAGGATGTTTGAAAGGGAAGAGCAGGCGGAGAGAGAGGGGGGGGGGGGGGGGGGAAGGAAAGGGGAAGAGAAGGGGAGAGGGGCGGGCAGGCGGGTCACACCGGCAGGCATCAGCGAAGGCAGCAATGAGGCAGTCCCCGTTGGGGTGGGCCGTGATCTTGAACGCGGGGTTCACGCCCGTTGACAGGCTAAACACCTGCCATGGGTAGTGGTGCAGTGCGGTGCAGAGCGGTGCAGGGTGGTGCAATGAAGAGGCAGGAGAGTTAAGGGGAACAATGAGGCGAGTGCTGTTAAGGGGCCTCGAGGATTAACACGTGGACAGGAGGCAGTGGAGGCACGGTGAGCAGTGGAGGCACGGTGAGCAGTGGAGGCACGGCGAGCAGTGGAGGCACGGTGAGCAGTGGAGGCACGGTGAGGCAGCGAGCAGTGAGGGGATGCGGATGGGGGATGTGACAAGCGCGCGGTGGGCGCTAAGAAGGCGTTCGTTGGCGCGGCCGGGCGGAGATGCAACGCGGGGGGGAGAGCGCAGGGGCGCGGGGCGCTGGCGCACTCTTGCATCAAATGCGCGGGCATCGAGGAGGGGGGATGAGCGACAGACGGAACTAGCGCGCACACGACGCTGACGGTGGTCGATGGGAATGGATCTGCGGAGGGCACGAACGACGTCCACGTGTCATGCAGTGCCACGTCACCTCCGAGAGCTCATCGGCCGCAAAGCTGTACTTGCACGCGATGATCTTGCTCTTGATGCCGTGCCGCCCCGCGCCGCCACCTCCCGCCAGCACCACCAGCCCCTCCTCGCCTTGCGCGCCGGCCTTGGGGCCTTTCGTGGGCGCCCACGCGCCGCAGAAGAGCGGAAAGCCGAACTGCTTCTTCACTCTGGAATCGTCGGGCCGCGCCGGAGCCATGCTGGTAATTTCGTGGTTCCGTCGGGCGTAATCGCTCTAGAATAGGCGCTTGTTGTGGGAATCGGTGCCCAATTTTTCCGCATGGGTCTTTTGGGTGGGATTGCGTGGCATTCGAACCAAGTTACGGCATTCGCTCATACGCCATATGGGACTCCTCAGGCTGAAATTAACAAATCGGCTGCTAGAATCCCAGAATCACTTCCTTATACACCCTCTTATTCTTTAGAATATCGCGCCGCGTTTTGGGCGGGGGCGTCTGTTTGTTCCGCCGAGCGACATTAACGTTATAGAAGCACATTGCCTGGATTCCTGCCCATTTTGCGACTCTAACGACGAATCGCGTCACTTTCAGAGCGTGATGCAATGATTCCACTTGTCTTTTTCCGTTTGGCGGCAGTAACCCGAGAAAATATGCGAAGATAGGCTGCGCACAGAATATGATCTCCACTTTTTGATTTGCCAACGCTGATTTCGCTAATTTTGCGAAGTTACTCAATTCGCCATCTAGACCGTTTCTGAGATGCTCGGAAGTTTCTAGGCCGTCAAACTCTCGGCAGTATGTGGATGATTACTCTGCAAGCACAGTAAGATTCCGAGTCTTCGCGCTACTATAACGCATAGCACAGCAAGATCCCAAAACTGTAGACTCTGGGCCACACTATTGGAGCCCGCTGTATCGAATTAGAGGGTGTACACGTCATTGAATTAAGACAAATTTGTTAATAAGGGTGCATTCCTGCACTTCGGGTCATCAGCACTTCGGGTCTTCCGAGATAGTGGGATCCAATCGGAAAATCGGAATGCACCCCAATCTCTTGATTCCGAACTTAGGCAAAGTGGGGGAGAACAAGGGGTCACAAGACCAGTCAAGACAAGCAAAGCAAGCTCAGGGTGGATCACAACGTCACCACACACACTGAGCACAAGCAAAGGGCCACAAGGCCAGTCCACATGCAGAGGTATATATGCAACAAGAACAGCACAGTGATCACTACCTAGCAAGAGCAAGCATGCAGGTATATGTATATAGATCACAGTACAAGCAAAGCCTACAGCAAGTGTGGAAACGTAGGTACAAGGCCTAACAAAGTGCAAAAGCGCTGATGATCACCAGACGGAAGTGCCTTGGTGAATATATCAGCAGTGTTGGCCCGAGTGGCCACGTGAGCAAGACGAAGCTGACCTCGCTGCTGCAACCCTGAGCGAGGAAGTAACGCAGAGCGATGTGCTTCGTTCTGTGCTCCAGTCTGTGCTCCTGACACAAGGCAATGGCCGCCTTGTTGTCAACGTACAGTACTGGAGGAGAACGAGGCCGCTCTCCCAAGCCAGTCAGCAGGTAGGTGAGCCAGCGTAACTCCTGTGCAGCCATGGCTGTGGCGTAGATCTTAGCCTCACAACTGGAGCTGAGAATAGAAGACGAGCGTGTAGACCGCCAAGAAACAGAACCAGAGCCAAGGCTGAAGGTGTAACCCTGTGACGACCGCTGCGTAGCCTGGTCGTCAATCCAAGACGCGTCAGAGTGTCTAGTGAGGACAACGTCACCCCGTCCTCCAAGCACGAGCCCCATGCCCGATGTACTGCACAGGTAGCGCAGTACCCTCTTAGCAGCATCCATGTGCACCTTTCGGTGCCTACCAGGAGCCAAGCCAAGGTAGCTGCGCAGCTCAGCCAGGTCTCTGCACGTGTGTCTCTTCTGAAGTTCCGACTTCATCAGGGCGAGAGCCTCATTGTCAGCAGTGGCAAAGACCAAGTCGTCGACGTACACGAGGATGTAGAACGGCGGCAGCGAAGTGTCGGTGCGCAGAAATAGCGACGGGTCAGCAGTCGAAGGAGCAAACCCAAGAGCCGCAAGTGTCGTCCTCAGTGTGTCGTGCCACTCACGAGGCGCCTGGCGGAGACCGTAGAATGGCCACGAGGAGGGAACGACCCAGTGAAGCCAGGTGGGCGGCGCAGCCAGATCTCCTCGTGCAGGCTGCCCTGTAAGAAAGCTGTGCTGAAGTCAAGAGAGTGAAGCTCGTAGTCACGCTGAGCGGCAACGTGCAACAGCACCCGAAGAGTGGTCATCTTCGGGGTGGGGGAGAAGGTCTGGAAGAAGTCAACTCCCTCTCGCTGACTGAAGCCTCGAGCAATGTAGCAAGCCTTGAAGACAGGCGGAGAACCCGGCGGCCGCTTCACCCTGAAAATCCACATGCCATCGACGATGTTCGCCCCGGGAGGGGGAACCTCATCGACGTAAGTGCCTGTGGACTTCCAGGATGCCATCTCTGCATCCATGGCTGCCTGCCACTGAGAGGAGTACTCACCCGCGATCGCCTCAGCGTAAGAGCGCGGGGTAGGGATGTCTGGTGCATCCGGGTCTCCCTCAAGGGCAAGCAGCATGGCCATGAGATGAGGCGCAGCGGCTGCAAGACACTCAAGGTCCTCGTGCCTGTCCTCAAGGACGTCCGTGCCAAGAGCACACTCACCCCTGACGGACGGAGGACAGACAGACTCAGACTCAGCAACAAGGCTAGCAGCGTAGTCTAGACGACAGGCAGCAGCAAAGTCAACAAGCTCAGCGACTAAGGCAGACGCAGCAGCAGACTCAAACGACGGGTCAGTGACAACAGTGGCTGACGGATGCATGACAGTAGGGTGCTCAGCACGAAACCGGTCAGACTGAAGGTCCGGAACGTCAGGCAAAGAAGACGCAGGAGGAGACGGCAGAGGAACACGCTGTGGAACAGAGGAAGGACGAAGTGCCATAATGTGCGTGCCAGGGACAGGAGGAGGACGCTCACGACTAACACGACCAGTGCGACCAGTGCGAACAGGCGAGACAGGACGGGACGCAGGCTCGCGACGCTCAGTAAGACCTCCTGTCTGCTCAGTGTAAGGAGAGGGAGCAGGCAGGGGGGAGCCTGGCTGTAACGGTAGGCCAGTGGAAGACGGCAGGCTAAGAACCTGGCGAAGCACTGTGTCAGGAGGCGGCAGTGACGATGGTGACGGCGGAGAGAAGAACAGTCGCTGCGCAGCAGTGCCACCAGCACCAGTAGCTCCAGTGCCTCTAGCAGCTTCAGAACCCCCAGCAGCTCCAGACCCTCCAGCGCCAGCTCCTCGAGCGCCAGCACCACCAGCAGCCGCAGAACCTCCAGCGCCAGCACCACCAGAACCAGCGTCACCAGCAGCAGCACCCCCAGAACTGGCAATTCCAGTCCCAGTGTCTCCAGCAGCAGCACCCCCAGACGCAGCACCTCCAGCCCCAGCAGCTCTAGTACCTCCAGTACGAGCACCTCCGGGTCTAGCGGCTCCAGCACCTCCAGCAGACAAAGTACCCGCAGTACTCCCAGCTCCAGTGTCAGCAGCTCCAACAGCACCTCCTGCGGCAGGGTCAGCAGTACCACCAGCTCCAGCGTCCTCAGGCCCAGCGGCTCCAGCGTCGTCGGCACCTCTCGCACCAGCCCCAGTACCCTCTGAACCGGCACCCCCAGCTCCAAGGACGTCAGCAGAAGCGCCTCTAGCGACAGAGCCCCGAGCTCCAGCAGCGCGACCCTGACGGCGAGCGTACCACTCGTGCAGCTGCTGTGGGGAGAGAGGTGCATGCGGACGAAGGCGGCCACTCCAAGGAGACCGCGCACAAGCAGTCTCAGTACCCTCAGGCGCCGCACCCCCAGACTCAGCACCCCCAGGCTCCTCACGCTCAGGCGCAGCACCCCCAGGCTCAGCACCCCCAGACTCAGTACCCCCAGACTCAGCACCCCCAGACGTAGTACCTCCAGTCTCCTCACGCTCAGGCTCAACACCTCCAGGCCCAGCACCCCTAGGCCCCACAAGCTCAGGCCCAGCACCCCCAGACGCAGCACCCCCAGGCACAGCACCCCGAGCAGGACCACCCCCAGCAGGACCTGAGTCACCAGTGACCTCAACAGGCTCAGGCACAGGAGGGTCTACCTGAGAAACACCTGAAGGAGCAGGACCTGGCGCGGGGAGGGGGTCTACCTGGGGAGGACCTGGAGAGAGAAAGAGCGGAGAGGGTGGGCGAGTGGCAGTACGGTAGGGAAAGAGACGGTAAAAGGGGACCGACTCGTCAAAGGTGACGTCCTCAGATGGAAAGACACGGCGCGAGGCGGGGTCGTAAAACTGCCAGCCAGGCGCGTCAGGAGGAAAACCAAGGAAGACGCAGGGAATGGCGCGAGCGGAGAGCTTGTCCGCGGTGGTATCGCGAACAAAGGCACGAGCACCCCAGACCCGGAAGCGCGACGCATCGCCAACCTCCCCCGTCCACAGCAGTGTGGGCGAGGTCTCCGGCAAGGAGACACGGGGCCAGAGGTTGAGCTGATGCGCGGCGTACCGGACTGCAAATGGCCACAGAAAATGGGGGGCAGCCGCATGGATCATGGAGGTACGAGCGACCTCCATGACTAAGCCAATGCAGCGCTCAGCAACCCCATTCTGCTGCGGAGAGGCCGGAAGCGTGAACGACTGGCGGATGCCGTGCTCCTCACAGAAGGCTCGCAAGAGGTCGGAGGTGAACTCACCACCTCTGTCAGAGTGCAGACGCAGGACAGGAAAGTCCGACTGGAACCGCTCGCAGAGCTGGAGACGAACAGCGCGGATCCAGGGGATCAAAACATCAGGGACCTGACCCTTGCTGCGCAAGGGGAAGACCGTGGTGTAACGCGTGTAGTCGTCGACGACCAGCAGGAAGTACCGCTCGCGGCCCTGCCCCTGCACGCGGGCTGGGCCCCACACGTCCAGGTGGAGAGTCTGCAGTGGAGCCTCTGTGGGAGGGAACGAGGAGGAGTGAGGAGCGGCGCGCTGCCGCCCCTCGACGCAAGGAATGCAGGGCGGGGCAGGCGAGGGAGGGAGGGCGGGCAGAGACCTGGGAAGGCCAGAGACCAGTAGGCGAGAGTGCATGCCACGAAGGCGGGGTAGAGAGGGGTGACCAAGGCGGTGGTGCCACAGGAGAGTGTCGTGCGACAGGCGGCGACACTCACACTGGGTAGCTACCTGAGCGGACG